TGGTCGGATTGGACCTAAACAATTTATAATGTAGCACTGGACCTACTAAAAGTACTTACGTTGTGGCTGAGACCTTATTAGGAAGCGACACTAATCGCGTTTGACACGGATTTCGTTCCGTTCGGCTCAAACCTTCAATTTATAAATGTCAGATCATAAACCCATGACGTCACGAATCCTCGCAAGCGCAGTTAATTACGTTGTCCTTATAACAGGTCCAGTTTCGATGCATTATGTATTTGGGGCTACTTGGTAACTTATAGGTGTTTTATAGTGGACGCTATCAAATACTGGTTTTGCGGTCAAATTACTACTTGTAGGTATTATTTGTACGAGTATCGTGTATTAATTAATAGTACAATTTGAGTATTAAATATTTAACAAAATTAAACAAAGTGAAAATAAAACCTGAACTTCTTCAAGGCTAGGTAATAAAATAGGCATTTTGTCAGATCACAATTTCAAGGAACTCTTAACTCTACATAACTTAAAATGACTATGGTTTAAGTTCTACCGGGTACTCTAAAGTGTAAAACCTAACTCAGACACAGCTGATGTCCGCCACTGTAAGGTCTCAGACACAGAAATGCCCTGGGTAAGAAAGATTCCTTCGTCCTGATCATCACTTTACAAGATACATTCCTAGAGTTTCCCGGTTGTGGTAAAAAATCTCCGTACAAATTTCAAGCCAACTATTTTTGAATGAGAACAAATATTTGTCATGTCGTTTATAATCTCCTACACCTGAATTCGCCAAACGACGTTTTAATGGGCATTTGCGAACGAAACCTGCGAAGGCACCGTTACCGAAGCGGCTTGACGATTATCAAACAGATTTGTTTTGATAGTTTTTGCTGCTTACTGTTTAGTGTTGCGGGTAATGTATGTATCGATAGTGTTCATCGATTAATTGTGAACGGAAAAAATATTAAGTGCAAATGTAATTTTATTGTTAACAATAAAAATCGCCGAAGCAAAGTGTTGGAAAATTACTTTTTAAGACTGGAAACCTCAAAAGTCAAAAATCTGTCAAGCTTCATACACAAAAACACCGGTTTACGATTAAAGTTAGGTGGTGCAACTCAGCCTTATTAGTTTTAGAAAGTGACTGTTTAAATATTAACTCTCATTAGCAAATATGACATTATGACTAAAATTTTATGATACAAAACTACATTAAGTGCAATGAGACATAGTTACCTATTATTATAAATGAAAGTTATCGATAAGTCAACATTGAGCATCACTAGCATGTTATTGAATAACGGCCTGCCTCGAATAGATGTAACGAAAATTCGTATATAATTGCTTGCTGAGCCTCTTTGAAAGTCATGAATTTTGTTTTATTATTATTATGTAAAATGTTTTTAGCTCTCACACTATTCAATAAATAGGACTTAGAATTTTAATTATTTCTCAGATTATCTTTATTTTCAGTTTGATTTAAGAATGCTACTTGCTAACTTACTATGCTACTTACACCAAAAACTTTTTCCGTGAATGTGTCACTTTTAACATTTAAAATTAAGTTTAAGTATAATTTACTTGCAAGTTAAAGGTACTGTGGGCAATTTACTTGCGTTACTTGTTGAGTGTCTCGGCTTGACCCAATACCTAACTGAGTTTTACAACTTTACAAGCCTCAACTTTCTGCGGCGACTACGAATATGCGACTATAAAGTTTTTTCGCGCATGAATGCTTTGACGCGTTGCATCATTTGAATATTCATTTACTGCGTATGTGTCACCAAGTTAGGCTAATCTCAACTTTATTGCCTAAAAGATAAGACAGAGTGCGCAGGAGTGGTTCAAAAAACTGACCGGTGACTAACTAGTACCGGAATCATATATTACAAGCGGTTCAAACTTAGACTACGAGTGTGTGGTGTGGTGACATAATCTGAAATATTTAACAGGGAAGTATTTTCACCTACATATTTCAATTTCACATTTNAATCAACGCAAAAATTCAAAACGCTGAGGTAGGTACCTACCTATAATAATGCAAATATAGGAAAAATAAATAAATAAAAAATAATCATACCGCATATGTTGAAATTCGCCACTACTCGCAACGGAATCAAGTAAGTAATTTGATTTAATACGTCATAAATTGTAAACCGCTACGTTTGTACGGCGGAACCCTCGGTGTGCGAGCCCGACTCGCAGTTGGCCGGTTTTTTTTGATTCGATCACGCAGCGAAATAGAATAGAATAGAACCGAAATGGCGACCATTCAGCATGAACCACGGCGAAACCCTTGCTATGAGGCTGGTTTTCTATCATCCTCGAATCGGTAGTCCAACATCCTGGGTTGGACACCAGACCATTCTGGGGGTGAAGCTATTGGATGAGCGCTACAACATCAAAACATTGTATCAAACATACGTTATACAGTACATACTCGCACCTAATCCCAACTATCCCAACTAATATTATAAATGTGAAAGTAACTCTGTCTGTCTGTCTGTCTGTCTGTCTGTCTGTCTGTCTGTCTGTCTGCTACGCTTTCCCGCTTAAACCTCGCAACCGATTTTGATGAAATTTGGCATAGAGATAGTTTGAGTCCCGGGAAAGAACATAGGATAGTTTTTATCCCGGTTTTTGAAACAGGGACGCGCGCGATAAAGTTTTTCTGTGACAGACAAAATTCCACGCGGGCGAAGCCGCGGGCGGAAAGCTAGTTAACAATATAATTGATCGAACAGCTATACTCCAATTACACCCAATTAATTAACTAAAACGATTTAATAAAAGATACTAGTATAATATACCTACATAAGTTGGAGAGGAATTGAATCTTGTGCGCGTCACACTAAGTAACACTGTAGTATTTAAATATCATAAAAATAAGCAAATAAGTGCGTAAATAACTAATGAGAGCTTTTTATATTGTTACAGTTACCGAGAAGGAGATCAGACTTTGGTAAGTACGAGTAAAACAATGTTTTAGTTAGGGATTGATTCCCGCCTTCGGCAGTTTAATTTTTTTTAAGTTATGTATTTATAATTTTCAAGGTGTTTTAAGTCCCCACGAACTAGTAATTTTACAAGTAAGACAGATTAAAAATCAAAAGTGATTCCAAGAGTATTTTAGTCTAAAAGAATTTTCTTTAAAAATACATTAATTACTATAATTATATTGTACCTAAGTTAGCCAACGTTTAGCGCTCAACGCCATTGGAAGAAATCTAATAATAAGGCCGAGTTGCACCACCTAACTTTAACAGTAACTATAACGATCACCGGTGTGTTCAGATTTTTGACGTTTGTCAAAGTTAAAGTGGTGCAGCCCAGCCTAAGTCAATGCCCCTGTGTCATTGGTGACTCGTAACGATATGTCTGCTAAGGCAAAACCTTCACGAGTTATTTTCGCTTTAATTAAACAACATGCTTCAAGGCACATTCATTAACTTTTTTGCTAATGCTCGTGTGACAGTATCATTATTAATGAACGTAGAAATACTTAATGCCTTAATATTTTAATTTATTTTTAGGCACAAGGGATTTCTGAAGGACTGTCCGAACGGCCTCTTAACAGAACAGGTAAGGAAAATATTAAAAATCTCCCAAATTTAAATTTTTATAAGTAAAACGGGTCTGTACGAAACGTTACTTGTAAGAAGAATGGCGAAACCCAAAAAAACTAGCGTTCAACTTTTATTAAACAGGCATATCTTTTAGATAGACACGAAACATCCTAGTACGGTATCTTCCATACTAGAATAAAGCTAACTAAACTCTGTGACTCTGGCTCTTGTAAAGGTGTTATTTTGCGATAAATCTAATGTTTAGTCTAATGTGCTGTCGGTCGCAAATCTAGGATATTTATGTCACCGTAAAATTGTGAATTCCGTCAGTAGGTATAATCTGAAATTACAATCTAACCTAACCTAGCCCACTGTTCGTTGGCAATCTCACACGCTATATTATAAACTGATGAAATTTGTAATTTCACGTTGACATTAGGTACATAAATAGAATCAGAAACTTTTAGTTAATGTTATTGTTTTATTTCCAGGGCTTCATTAAGATTTACAAGCAATTCTTCCCTCAAGGTGACCCGAGTAAATTTGCGTCACTGGTTTTTCGGGTGTTCGACGAAAACAATGTAAGAAAGCACTCCATCTGTTATTGTATTAACTTTTAATTGATTTCTTCTAGATTGCCAACGTTTCTCAAACTTTACAATTAGGTATAAGTTCTGAAACTTTAGCTCAGGTTCCATTATAACTTACCACTAATTAGGTACTAAGTTATTAAATTAAATGTTTTGTAACTAGGTGATACACTACAAAACGAGAACGTTATAAGTAATTTTATATCTTTTGCTAAAAATCTATCCAAGAATAATGATGTGTCAGTAACAATATCATACCTAAATGTTCAATGTCTCAAAATGTACTTCACTAAAAACATTATTTCCGGCAGAAATCCTCAAAATAAAATGTTCAGTTCGTCTCATATAAAGTCAGTAATAATATAAAAACTTTGCCACATTACAAGTTTTACGAGAGAAACGATGTAAACGTACTTAACTCAGTTTATTCAAGGCCACAGCGCCCATTTTTATTATTGAAAGTGTTCATGAAAAATGTCGTATTAGATACGAATATGTGCAGTTTATTTGGTCTTATGCAGCATTACGTCTCTCAATAATCGAGATGGTTGTCGTAAAGCAGTTTACGATTAAAGTTTTTACGAAGCCTTCATCGTCGTTTTTATTTTATANCCCAATAATCCTAACAACATCCCACCCTGCGCTTTCTGGAACGTGGCTTCCACTCCAGAACCTCAGTGAACCAGAACCCCATCGGCCATCAGTTCTGCGTACTAACTACCATGTGTCCTGCCCATTGCCACTTCAGCTTGTGAATCTGTCGCGCTTTGTCAGCGACTTTAATTAGTTTATGGATCTTTGGTACATTTACGGTTACGGTTAAGTTGATTAGTCAGTGATAAATTATCTTAATATAATTATTATGTTATTGTTGTTTTAGAGTGCGATGAATACTCGTGGGACTACTGGACAAGAATTATTGAATCTGATAGGCGTGCGGAAGAGTGTAAGTACGAGTATAAGTATTTTGGAAAAGAAAAGTTTACACAATATGACGAAATGTTTTATGTTTTATAAAACGATAAAAAAAACACTGAATTTTATCGCTTGCAAATACCGCGTAAGTGGCAAAAGTAGCCAAATTGACATTCGCGCCAGTGCTGCAGTGCAATGTGGAAGCTGATTCACTTCTAAATTCGACAAAAATTGAATATCGAATAAAATTGAAATCGACTAATATGAACAATAAATAATTAATGTTACTTCTCGTTCAACAGGCAAGCAGCAGTTGAAAGACCCATCTACAGTATTTGGCGGTATGGATGCTAAATATGGAGACTTTCCACACATGGTAACATTTTCACATGGTTTATATTTTCTTATTTATATTATCTTTAAATCACAAGGAGGATGACCTCATAAAGGTAGCAGGAAGGCGCTGGATGCAGGCCGCTACCAACCGGCCTTTGTGGAAATCATTGGGGGAGGCCTATGTTAAGCAGTGCACGTCCTATAGCTGAAATGATGATGATGATGATTATTAAGGGATGTTTCCTGGGTCAAAAAGCAAGAGTTTTAATTAGTCCGTCAGTTAACTTATCAAAAAATACTCTACACGTATTTTTCACTTTTTCAAACTAATGAAAATTTAAAGAGATAAAGCGCGCCAAAGTTCATAAGAAGAGGCCCGTGACGTCAATGCGTGCATAAAAGTGCCGCACGTTGTGACGTCGTGCGAAACTTCAACGCACCATAACTATGTAATTATTTGTTAGATTGACAAATAAAAATATATGTGTCCAATATTTTTTGATAAATTAAACATGACGGACTAAAAAATTTTTTTTAGGAAACTAGCCTATTATGCGAAGGCTTTGTCCGAAGAGATTAGAAATAAGAAGGTGTCTATGGACGACGGTAATCATTACCATGCTCGTTTGCCGCCTGTCCTATAAAAAAATCAGTACCCATTTATATTATTTTCAGGGTGCTCTTTTTGGTATCTCGAAATCTAATAAAACAGTGTTCGAGTGTGGCTGCTCGCTTATCAGTTATAAGTTCGCGCTAACCGCAGCGCACTGTGTAACAATTATGGAATATAGACCATATCGGATACGGTTTGGAAATACATCAGGGAGTGAGGTAAGACTTATAATGTTTTTGCATTTTATCTATACTTATAACAAATCTGTAGAGAGGTCAATTCTGTACATGAAATATATTTTCAAAATAACTATCAGGGGGTGATTGATTATTGTTAACCTGCCTAGGAGTATGAAAAATATTGAACCAAGTTTCGTTAAAATCCGTAGAGTAGTTTTTGTTTCTATAAGGAACATACAGACAGACAGACCAAAATTTTACTGATTGCATTTTTGGCATCAGTATCGATCACTAATCACCCCCTGATAGTTATTTTAAAAATATATTTCATGTACAGAATTGACCTCTCTACAGATTTATTATAAGTATAGATAAAGCCTAGGCGCAGACCACATATTTTTAGCCAATAATATTTGGGCCCGATTTGAATTTGTGTGAAGAATCGACCGATATCAAATCGGTGTAGGTATAAATGTGCGCACCTGCATACATGTCCATACTGATAGCAGTCCGACCCAACTACCGACCAACTAAAAGTCTATGGTTTTCGCCTGGGCAAGCAATTTATGTGTATATTTTGGCAATGATACGAGTATAAACGAAAAAGTAGGTAGTGTACATCCGTTCAAAATTGGTAAACGCTTTGGAATTGTAACAAAAATTGTTAAGACTTGCTTGTATTTTTTTTAATTCTCGCATTTTCATTTTAGGGTAAGGGGGTTTCGCTGGATGTGGGCATTAAAAATATTTTTATACACCCTAACTATAGTCAACCATATAAGTACTATGATATAGCATTAATGGAGTTGGAGCGCGAGCTCAAGACTCAGGCGCATATTAGACCGGCTTGCGTCTGGAGCGGCGCCGTTGGTAATAAATGGGTGGCGAACATCACTGGATGGGGAAAAACAACACCAGAATCAAGTAAGCTTTTTACGTTCGTTCGTTTCAGCCGAATGACGACCACTGCTGGACAAAGGCCTCCCCCAAGGATTTCCATAACGACCGGTCCTGTGCTGCCCGCATCCAGGTTCTTCCCGCGACCTACACCAGATTGTCGGTCCACCTAGTGGCCTGTCCACGCTACTTCTTCTGGCCCGTGGTCGCCACTCGAGAACTTTTCTGCTCCAGCGGCCATCAGCTTTACGAGCTATGTGCCCCGCCCACTGCCACTTGATTTTAGCAATTCTGCGGCCTATGTCAATCACTTTGGTTCTCCTGCGGATCTCCTCTTTTCTCCTGATTTCACTTTATACAATAATTAGTTTCTATTCCCAGAAATCAGAGTGACCATTAACCACCACACTTGTTTCTCTATTCAGATTCGGCGTCAAACAATCTTAATTACGCAGAAATCGATATCTGGGAGAAAGGCAGTTGCAACAAATCATTAAAAGGCCGACCTAACCGGCTCTGGAAAGATGGCCTGAAAGACCACCAATTTTGCGCCGGCAAGCTGGGTGTCGATACTTGTCAGGTGAATTAAATTGTATTTTTTTTACTATTAAAGCTCTATTCACACATATCAGTGAAGCCACAGTTCCGTCACAGTGTCCGCTCAGTTCAGTATCAGTGCTACAGTGTTGCGTCGGTGAAATGTTTTGAATATTTTAAAACGTCAGAGAGCTGTTTCAATATTCTTGTTCAGAAACTATGAAGTAAGTTATTTTGTTTTTGAAGCCGCGGCGGCGTCCGTGATGCGACAAAAATATAGTAGTCAAGTCGGCGTTTTTAGAATTGTTAGTTTTCATAATGTTCAGTAGTTTTTGCGTCTACTCAACTCAATCTATCCAATCCAGATAGGATTCTTCAGAAGTTGTAGTTACAAGTAGTTTGGAAATAAATTAGGTATATTTGCTGAATGATGTTATCCCCCCTCCTGGTACTTTCACGGCTAAAAGTAGCATAATTTTCCTGAATATAAAGTCAAGTTGTCCTTTGTAAACTTTAATAACATTAAATACTAAGCATAAAATAAGTACTTACCCTCTTTATTTCATAATTTTCAATTAATTCTGTGCACACATGTTAAGAGTCGCGGTCTAGATTAATCTATAGATTATTATCTGTGCCTGAATATGACTGTAACTTGTTTCGTGAGCCTTAAATAAATGAATAAATAAAACAAAATAGTTGTTTTTTTCAGGGTGACTCAGGAGGACCAATTGGGATCAGAAGGCCGTCTAATTATGGCGAATCTGGATTCATGCACCACGTGGTTGGAATCACAAACTTCGGCGTAAAATGTGGGACGAAGTTACCAGGAGTGTACACCAACACAACCACGTTCTTATGTTTCATCGAGAAGACTGTGTGGCCTGAAGAGCCAAACGAATTTTGTCCTTAGTTTATTTTTGTCAGCACATTTAAATTTAAATTAATTATTAGTATATTAGCCCTTTTTATGGTATTATGACACCACTTCGGGACAGCTATTATCGGCTGGTGTTTGCTGTTGGTTATTTATTATATGGACTATTTACGAGTATAATGTAGTCATTCATACTTCAGTTGTTTGTAATTCTATGTGTGTATTATAAAATACTGTTTATTTCTATCAATAAAAAAATATACTTCAATACGTAGTTAATGTAATTCTGAACCCTGTTCTAAACTTTGAATAAACTATGCTTAAAAAACGTTAACATGTATTGTGCCGTTTAAATTTTGCTTAGTTTGGGACTGGATAACGCAGTGTATAATGGCCAAGGGTAGGTATTAATTAATTTAACTATAATACTGGGATTTTTAAAGTGACGTATGTGTGCATATACGCTCAGAAGCAGGCAACTAACTCACTAAAGGAGAGAAGTCAAGTAGGGCCTATTCAGCCGGGCTAGGATGCGCGCCGTGATAAAATCTTAACGATGATTCTAGACGACAAACCTATGGGTTTATCGCGTAAAATCGATATGTACGCGATGGTACAAGATATGTGTTGTAGTTGTCTTGATAGAAGGAAACTCTTGAAACTCTTGATTATTTATTTAAGATAATTACAATATAAATCTTGACGATTGTGTGCACACTAATTAATAGGTTGAGAACTTGTGTAGAACTGATCGGCGAATGCTTCAAGTTAATAAAATTAAATATTGCAGCGTTTGCATGACCTACATAGTATTTACTCGTGACTTATTGTACTTTGTACACGATAAAATGACGTGATTAAACCTTATCAAGGCGCGCATCCCATCCCTACAGGGGGTTTATACGCGTCCCAAACTTTTATTCCCAGTAGTCCCTTTTGGCCAACACTCTCCACGTAGGCTAGACGGGAATCTAACTGTTAACCGTAGGCCTAGGATGCGCGCCGCGATAAGCGGTTTACACGCCATTTTGTCGATTTTGTTCATACATTTTGACGTTGATAAAGTATATCACGGCGCGCATCCTAGCCCGGCTGAAAACTTAATAGGATTTTCCCCCTCAGGTTCAATATAAGTGTATTTTAGGGATGCTTCCTAGGTAAAAAAGCAAGAGTTTGAATTAGACCGTCGGTTAACTTTGGAAAAAAAAACTCGACAAGTATTTTTCACTTTTTCAAACTAATGAAAAATTAAAGAGATAGAGCGCGCAAAGCATCAAAGGAAGAAGCTCCGACGTCACGGGCTTAAAAGTGTAGCACTTTGTGACGTCACGAGGTAATATAATTCAAAGTTCGTTTCTTAATTTAAATTGGTTTTACTGATCACTAGCTCTATTACTATGTTAGTATTGTGGGGGAGACCATACTATAAATAATATGCCTTTATCACTAATAGGTATTTCTCTCTCGTTCTTCCCGAGTTGACAAACAGATACACTTTCCTATATTGTTACAATTATGTCAGTATCACTATAGTTTGCTCCAAGGCAGTTCTCCTCCAATGTGACCATGAGCGTTTCTGTGTTTATAGGTAAAGTTTTGTGTCTATTATTAATCTAACAATACTATTAATAAAACTTTATAATAATAATAAAATAATAATATACCACAGTTTATGCTAATTAATGCTTTAATAAAAAAAATAAACAAAAAACAATTCTTTCTATTCTCTTTTTTGACCAAATTCTTGCATTACTATGCTTTGCTTAAATTACTAAGATCAAAATATTCTACCAATATCATTGAAATCTGTGGTATATTTATTCATTATTTTAATATTGTAGTAATTAAAAATATTGTCGATTCTGTGCTATTACTTAAACATACTAATATTATCGAATATTTAAAAAATATACCTAACTTGATCTTTTTTATTTAAAGATATCTAAAATACATAATAATTGGCAATAAATATTATTATGTATGGCAGTAAGTAGGTATTTTTAAAATATTAGGCAAATGATTTAGTTATTAACAAGTAAATCTATGGCTAAAACGACATTCATGTTATTTCTATTAACCTTCAAATTTTTCCTTAATTAACTACAATTTATTATAATTATAAACAAGGATAAAATATATTTCAGCATGTCAAGAATCCATCTACGTACTACATTATTCTACTGTTATACTTATCAAAATATAGGTTAAATCCAATACAGTGATTGACTGTTTAATATTCAAGAGAGAGTAACAAAGCTTAAAACACTTTAAAAGATATTCGTTTTCAATTCCACTTAAAGGTTGTCCCAAAACCAACTGGGTTTTATCCCAGACCTTAATCTCTCACCCAATACCAGATTATCGTTGAGTTTTGGGATAACCTTTAAGTGGAATTGAAAACGAATATCTTTTAAAGTGTTTTTAAGCTTTGTTACTCTCTCTTGAATATTAAACAGTCAATCACTGTATTGGATTTAATATCTATAATGTTAGAGCCCGAGTTAACAACGTAGCACATTTATCATTTCTTAATTAATATTATGTATAATGTTGCAATGCCCTCACAGGGCTCATGTTCTGGGACTGTTTTATTTTTAATACCTTGTTTGTACCACATGAAGCAATAAAGATATTATGATTATGATTATGATGATCAAGCCCGAAAGGGATCGTAAAAGTATCAACTCGAGGCGGTAAGTATTCTTTGTATGAAACTCCATATTGCAACGCACATTTATCCGCAGCGTAACGAAACGGCTCGCCTCGCGGTTGATAGCGTGCGAATGGCGATGACTAACTCGCGGAAGGCGATACAGGTGTTGATCCCTTTCCGAGTTGATAAGTCTGCTATGACCTTTATTGCCCCGTATTTGATATGATTTTTATTGCTGTGATGACTACCTACCACACTCTTCCCGTGGATTTCGTAGGAGGCGATTAAGCAATGCGACCGCTCAACTTCCCAAACCCGTCTGGTTGACAAGGGAGAGTTGGTCAAATCCTCCATTAGGTTTGTCTTACAACAGTGGACACTAAATGACCTATTGATGATGTTTTTTCCAGTAATGACAGCTTTTCTCTTTTCTTTTTTTTACAGCTGCCATAATTCTCGCAGTAGGAACACAAGTCTTGACACAAAATGATTCGGAATTAGTAAGTTAATGATACCTCTTACAAAAAAACATAATTTTAATTAGAATGTTTCTTGAGGTAGTTTATAAAGGAACGATTCAATATTTAGATTTTTTAAATTATTTAATATCTTTAAACGTGGTAATCCTTCTTCTTTGGATCAACATGTATATTGTTTTTGATACATTCAGCTGTAGGTCATACAAGTTTTACAACATTATTTTCTTATTATTTTCAGGACTACAATTTTATTTTTGAAGAAGACAAAATAGTTCCGATTCGTAAGTGAAATCTTTATATTAGTCGTAAAATATCAGCCAAAATAGCCCACTGTTGGAATCAAGGAATCGTCATATTCGTTTGTCAATCGCTTCGTCAGGTCGTCGGTCCATTGAGCAAGTAGATGATCCTACGTTTGTCGAGACTTGGTTGCCTTTCAAGACCCTGTTTGCATCTTTTGTCGGTTTTCCGACAGATATGACCCCTGCCAATTTTGTTTTGAGGCTTTTTTCTGTCAAATGACCTCGTCAAGGATTATAACTTAATCTTCTTGAAGAATAAATTCTCAAAGATCTTTCTTTAATAGCAACACCGACAGCTGGCTATTTTAATATTAGATTTTTACTCAAAAGTAATAGTTTTTCATTTCGTTTTTCAGCATTAGTGACAACAGAAAAGGTAAAAACGTTACTTATTTATTAGTGACATATTTACTATTTTAATATCCTTTTTCTTAAAAAGATGATAATTTACATGTTTATTTTTCACAGTCAAATAATACGCCTAAAGCAGTGGTTGCAACAACTACAAATGTTCCTCAAGTTGGTAAGTTTTTGTGATGTTTTTTTGGTAATGTTAATTGTAAACGAGTTATTCATCCTCTATCATGAGCAATAACTGTATGAAAGTATAGATAATTTCCCGCTAATTCCGGTCCCGTGGGAATTTCGGGAATTCCTTTCTTAGTGCACCTCTACGGTACTTAAGCTACGTCCCTTCCAAATTTCAAGTGCCTACGTTTAGCCGTTTAGGCTGTGCGTTGATATGTCACTAAGTCAGTCAGTTTCTCATTTTATATATTTAGATAACATAAGTGACAGTTATTTTTAATTTATCTCTAACTTTGTTATGTTTTCTTCTTTATTTTAGCAAAACCAGGAGTAAGTGTGTCGGGAATAGCACCTACACATTTAAATGGGTCCGAAATAACAACAGAGAGTAGTAATCTTACATCCAAGAAATTTGGTAAGTTATCAACTCAGATCATAGAAGGTTATCAATACCTACTTAAGTATGAATTTATTATTGTACTAGCGGCCGCCCGCGACTTCGTACGCGTGGATCCCGTTTTACCCCCTTCATTTATCTTACGCGGTTTAGATTTTTTCTTACAAATGTTTTTCCCGATAACTCCCGTTCCCGTGGGAATTTCGCAATATTCTGTTGTAACTAAGCTTTAAGTTTACTAAGGTACCTGCATGCCAAATTTCAAGCGTCTAACTTAAGCAGTTTAGATTTTTCATACAAAAGGATTTTCCCGCTAATTCCCGTTCCCGTGGGAATTCCTAAGTATACTATTACCTGCTATATGAGTATGAAGAATAATTATACCAAGTTTCGTTATAATCCGTCGAGTAGTTTTTGTTTCTATAAGGAACATACAGACAGACAGACAGACAAAAATTTTACTGATTGCATTTTTGGCATCAGTATCGATCACTAATCACCCCCTGATAGTTATTTTGAAAATATATTTCGTGTACAGAATTGACCTCTACAGATTTATAATGTATAGATATAGATGAAGAAAAAATACTACGGGACTATTCCTACCTCTCGTTTCCACAGCTACAACTCCTGTGTAGCCAGCCTGACGGCCAATAAAAATTAAAGTCAAGGTCGGAGGTCAAGTTTGTCCCGGGGTTCAAAGTTCAACTATCAATGGAAAAAAAACTAGTAGTATTTAAGCAGAACCACCCCCTGTCATATATGTAATCTTGCTTTCATTATACAGTGTGAGTCACGTTAAAGTGTACATATGAAAATAGATGAAACTAGACCTATTTTTATCGACAAAAAAGAGGTCAAAAAATTTTTGAGATTTTTTTTTAATTTTTTATAGAATTTTTTTTCTTCGAATTACTTATTGTAAAGAAAACGTAATAACTTTTAAACTAAGCGGTATATCCTGATAAAATAAAAACAGTAATAATGCTAAATAACAGGCGATCCTAAAAAAATACATTAAAATACACAAAAAAGGCCAACAAATAATAAAAAATGATACTTTTTGAAAAAAATCTGCTTTTNGAGCCATTTTCGGTTTCGTTGTTAATGAAGCATTGAATGGCGCGCCCGGAGAGGCTTAGTTCAAACGATCATTGCAAACGTTGTGATAGGGATAGAGACATGCGATTTTTGGTTTTACGAAGGTAATACGATAGAAAATAATACAACGTAATAAAAACCACCGGTTATAGGGGCATTTTTTGGAGAAATTTATCAAATAACCAGAAAAACACGAATTTTAAAGCAAAGCTTTTTGTTTTCGCCCCGCGCACTTGTTATCTCTTTTTTACGCATTTCTGGAAACGTATTGACCTTTCACACGCTAATTACAAGGCATGCATGCCTATGAGCTATTAGTTAACGTAGATAGTGTATTCACCTCTGATAATAGAGTTAAGTAACACGGCATAATTAAAATATTTTTTGGTTAAAATTGGACTCTTAATTTTTTATTAGTGGATCGATTCGACTCTCGACTCCGAACAAACTAATTTCAGGTTTTGCGCTTATTCGTTAACACGTTGTATAGTATGTGAAAATAATTAGTCATATTATTATGCTTTAATAATCTATACGCATAAGACTTACCCTAGGCGCAGACCACCGACTTTTAGTCGGCCGATAGTTGGGCCCGATTTTAATTTGTTTCATACAAATTGAAAATCAAATCGGTGTAACGTTTCACAAAACGATTTCGCTTTCATACATGACATCTGATTTGTTAATATAGTAAGACATACAAGAGCAGACATGAGTCTGCTTGTGACCACGACTGCAGCATCGCAGCCGAAACGTCAAGCCGTGAGTACATAATGTAACTCATTAATAAACGTCGCATGTCTTACTACACTGGTCATCACAAAAATCGACCCTCCCGCGACAAGCACTTTCAAACGTTTGCATCCCCACCTCCCACTAATATTGGCACCATTTAAAAGCCTAGTTCTAAACTTCATTTCATTAAAGGAAAGGTTTTTACCCCAAAAATGTGTCTGTAGAAGAATCCAGAGTCACTTCTTCAAAAAATAGGTAGTTACGCTTGAGCCAACTTTTATGGCTTTAAAACTGTTAAGTTGGGATTAATCGCTATCAATGTGTTAAACAGGACACGTGAGATCATTATTTGGTTTTATAACCATAAAAATTGGTCTAATTGATCCCAGAGGTGAGCCCAAAGTGAGGTCTTTTTTCAAGTCACATTTATTGTATATGTTAATCGTTTAAATCGTTTATTAAGAAATTAAATGTGTTTTTCTTTAAGGATATTTAATATCCTTTTATTAAGAAATTAAATGTGTTTTTCTTTAAGGATATTAAATATCCTAAACGATTTAAACGATTAACATATTTGATGACCACGAATTTTAAAGCAGATTTTTTTTTAAAAGTATCATTTTTTATTATTTGTTGGCCTTTTTTGTGTATTTTATGTATTTTTTTAGTATTGCCTGTTATTTAGCATTATTACTGTTTTTATTTTATCAGGATATACCGCTTAGTTTAAAAGTTATTACGTTTTCTTTACAATAAGTAATTCGAAGAAAAAAAATTCTATAAAAAATTAAAAAAAAATCTCAAAAAATTTTTGACCTCTTTTTTGTCGATAAAAATAGGTCTAGTTTCATCTATTTTCATATGTACACTTTAACGTGACTCACACTGTATTTTATTGAGATCCGTGAAAGGGAAATAATTTCCCACGTCCCATCTGGGAACCTAACTCAGAACCAGTTGGTAGAGTCTGACTCTATTAACAGTTCTACACTTGTTTTGTCCATAAAATTGTGATAATACTCTTTTTTCAGATTTTGACGACTGGGATCTCATGAATGAAGTAAGTAAAGAAAGAAAAAACAAATATAAAATATTTATCTGGTACAACAAACAATACAAATCAGCATAAAAGCAAAACAATTTTTTTGTTAATGTTCCATTACAAGAACCTAAAAATAATCATGGCTATTCTACATGTTATTGGTTAAAAAAATGTTATTTACCTTACAGAATGAAACTATGTACGATGGATTTAACCCAGAGGAAGTGGAGAGTAAGTGTTTAATTTTTCCCAATTACTAAAATATACATATTAGTTAAGTATGATTTTTTGAAAAGCCACAGTTAACGCATTTTTAAATATCATCATCTTCTATACTTGTAATAAATCTGTAGAGAGGTCAATTCTGTACATGAAATATATTTTCAAAATAACTATCAGGGGGTGATTTGTGATCGATACTTATGCCAAAAATGCAATCAGTAAAATTTTTGTCTGTCTGTCTGTCTGTATGTTCCTTATAGAAACAAAAACTACTTGACGGATTTTAACGAAACTTAGTATAATTATTTTTCATACTCCTGGGCAGGTTATAGTATACTTAGGAATTCCCACGGGAACGGGAATTAGCGGGAAAATCCTTTTGTATGAAAAATCTAAACCGCTTAAGTTAGACGCTTTAAATTTGGCATGTAGGTACCTTAGTAAACTTAAAGCTTAGTTACAACAAGGAATTCCCGAAATTCCCACGTGAACGAGAATTAGCGGGAAAATCCTTTTGTATGAAAAATCTAAACCACTTAAGTTAGACGCTCGAAATTTGACATGCAGGTACTTTAGTAAACTTAAAGCTTAATTGAAACAGAATATTGCAAAATTCCCACGGGAACGGGAGTTAGCGGGTAAAAACATTTGTATGAAAAAATCTAAACCGCGTAAGATAGATGAAGGGGGTAAAACGGGATCCACGCGTACGAAGTCGCGGGCGGCCGCTAGTTATAAATAAATGAAATAAAGTTTAAGTTGAATCTATTTTCGTGTTTAATAGTATTTTTTTTACCTTCACAGAACTAAGAGCCCGAAAACGGACTAAAGCTCCGGTAAGTAATTGATAAAGATAATAATTATAAAACAGATATATTATGTACCAGCCTAGACTGCATCCCACTTAACACCAGGTGCGATTGTGTTGTGGTCAAATAGCTGCCTTGTTATGCATAAAAAATACATAGATCTACATAGGAATATCTAATTTGTGACTACATATTGACCCGTTTGAATTTTTACGAGTAGCGGAATAGACACTATCTATATCTATTATATAAAAGAAAGTCGTGTTAGTTACTCCACTTATAACTCAAGAACGGCTGAACCGATTTAGCTGAAAATTGTCAGGGAGGTAGTTTAGAGCCAGGAGAAGGACATAGGATACTTTTTATCCCGTTCGAAATTAAAAAAAAAGTCTGCTTATTTATTGCCATTAAGGCGGAACAAAGTTCGCCGGGTCAGCTAGTTAGTAATAATGACATCAATATTACTGTAATTCTTTTTAAATCCCCCATATACAATAAGTAGCATTGTCGCACTAACTACAAAATAGATAGAAGAAGGCTCTCTCTCACTCTACATACAAAGTGCGCTCGGGCAACGCACACGGGCACGATATTACCAATAATCGCAAACCAGTCTAAACCAGTGCGAGAGCGAATGCCGTCCGCTTGAGACACGCATTGTCTTCTGTTACTATTTTGTGCAATAATTGTCATCCCTTTAATCCAACTATTCCAAAGTCTGGACCACTTAAGGGTACAAAAACCTGTTTTGTATGCTTTCAGACTACCACCACCACACAACCACCCCCACGGTACACGGTAAGAAACATAATATAACCATATTATTATTATGTACTTGATTAAGCGCAGACCACCGATTTTTAGTTGGCCGATAGTTGGGCCCGATTTTAATTTGTATGAAGAATCGGCCAAATCAAATCGGTGTAATGTGCGCACTTCCATACATGCCCATACTGATCAACTGCCCGACTAAACTATCGGCTGACGAAAAATCGATGGTCTGCGCCTAGGCTAATAGCACGCAGATAGAAGTAACTTATAGCTCGTGCCAGTAAAAACTGTCAATTAACGTAAAAATAAAGTCGAATGAATACTTTGTAAAGTGAAGTGAATTGACATTACCAAGTAATTTTCACTAATCATAACGCTTGTATGAATTTTGACTGATTGGTAAAATTTTAAAACAGGCGAAATCACTTTAGTCTAATTTTTTACACTCAGAAGTGGATTTGACTAACTCCTCTGGTCAAAACCACTTTTGACTGAAAAAATCAGTCATTAATGATTTGACCAAGGGCATCAGTCAAAATCACTTTTTACTGATTTTTGCAGTCAAAAGTGGTTTTGACCGATTATGAGTTTTGATTGTAACATATAGGTTTATTTCTGACTTTTCAGACACCGTTGGTTTTGTTAGTGATTGACGGATTGGATTTAGAGGTAAGTAAATAAAAAAATCTATAGTATATCTATTCGGTTTTAGTTTTCCTACCATTAACACATAAGTACCTACTAAATGATACTTATATTTTTCAGTCCGAGGAAAGCGATCAGAAAACCACGGTAAGTTCAAAATTCTTCTTCTTCTTCTTCTTGTCGTGTGAACAACAAACCTACACAGCGTTGCCCAAAACTCCGCCAAAAGAGTGGCGTTGTCAGTAGCCTTCATTAAATCTTCCTGCGTGCAGTTGTTTGCGCACGCAGGGCACGACAGTTTAAAATTATGATATGTTTTATTTATTAACATTTTTAATTTAAATATGAACTAAACACTGGACAAGTATATTTTAAGCTCGCAGTCAGAGCTTTGTTAAAGTGACAAAATGTGAAAAAAAAAGTTAATAAAACACTTTTTCTGTTACAGCCTCGTATGACTCCTAGTACAACAATAAGTACGAGTTCTGTGAGTACCAATTTATGAAAATCAAATCAAAATCAAAAGTATTTCTACAATTATTACCAGTATTTTGGCACTTAAGAAACTTCTTGTAATCTTTCGGTAGGGATGATTAGAGTCAGCCTACCCAATTGCCATTTTGTAAGCCATCGCTAATGGCCTAACCAATGAAGACCTACATCGAATATTTATAATAATCGTTCGTTTGATGTAATAGTTCGTAACGGGCTACTGTATTACGGGCTATGAAGTCGCAGGTTCGATTCCCGACAAAATAATAGTAAGGCCCAGAACAGACGGTGAAACGCAACTGCAACGAAACTGCAACTGCTAGTTACTTTTGAGTTGCATCTAAGTTTCTGCCATAGCGTCCGTTGAGAGACCACACATGATGCAACCAGTTTGAAACTTTCAGTTTTAGTTTCATTCATCGGAATCATCAGAAAGTTGCAGTTTCGTTGCAGTTGCAGTTTCGTTGCAGTTGCGTTTTACCGTCTGTTCTGGGCCTAATAGTTTGTTGTGAGATCTATTATCATAATAGATAATACAAATTTTCAGACTCCTAGGATTACAACTCCACCAGTTACAGATGGATCAGGTGGTGAGGATGATGAAAGAGCAGGTCCAGTACGTATTTTAAGTTTTGTACTTAATTATGTTTAGTTCAAAGCATAGATTAGTAAAATATTTTTAGATAAGAAAAGTGAGGCAATTTGAGTAGCCATCCCTACATTGTCAACTTTCCACCAGCTCGCACTTAGCGTTTCGATAACTCTTGCGATACGAACAGCTAGCAACTGGAATTCGCTGCCTGCTGCTGTTTTTCCCGAACACCATGATCCGCTTTTTCAAGGGGATAGTGAATAGGCACTTAGTCTGTTAAGTAAGAGAGGGACGCCTTGCTGCAGTGAAGAGTGAAGACTAAATGACTTGATGACACTAGAAAAGTAATATAAGTCCACCCCGCTAACGGAACTCTACTGAATCTTTGAAACAAATCAGATAATCTACTAACTACTAACTTCGAATCCTCTCATTTTTGCATATTGTTAGCGTATACCGTTCCTACAGGGCAGATATGTACCATCCTAGACTGCATCTCACTAAACATCAGGTGCGATTGCGGTCACCTACCTTATTCTGTATAAAAAACATGTTTCAGGGTGACGACGGAGAAGGAATACAACCTATCACTGACGAACCTGACTACGATTCTGAAGAAAAAAAAGATGATCCTTGCAATTACGAGAAGTATCCTCACCCACTTCCAAATATCATTAGAACTAACAGAAGAGTCAGTGCCATAAGTAAGCCATTAATAAGCTTTAGTCAAGCCATATTTATCCTGAGTTGCACCATCCTACTTTAACAATCAATTCTGAATTCTTCTGAATAATTCTGGATGCGGGCGGCGCAGGACCGGCCATCCTTGATGGAGGCCTTTGTCCAGCAGTGGACGTTATTTAATTTTGGCTGAAACGAACGAACGAAACTTTAACTCAAAAATACTATTTTTAGACACGGGTTTTACTATTTTAATTGAAATGGAACGCGAAAGTTTAAAATCTTATTTTAACTCAAAAGTCTGTCAAACTCCACAGAAATACCGGTTAAAGTTGAGGTGGTGCAATTTTAAAGAGAGAAAAATAGTTTTAGATGATCATTACCATTGCTAACATAATACATTTCTTTATTCTAGAATGCGAGGAATACATGTGGCATTACAAGATCGAGGAGATCGATCGAGAAAGAAATCGGTTAAAATGTAAGGATTTTTTTATTCAAATGGTTAAAGTACAACTCAATCGAGTTAACTATAGGGTTATTTTATGGGGCAATAGCACAGATGTTCGATCGTTATTTATAAAACAAAAAAAACTAATCCGTATATTAGCAAATATCAAGCCCAAAGTCAGTTGTAAACCTTATTTCCAAAAGTACAAAATTCTACCCTTGCCTTGTATCTACATTTTAAATATTTGTAAATTTGTCCGCTCCCACTTTGAGTTTTTTACCAAACGCGAAGAATCATGTCCACAATATCATTTGAGAAATAAAAATAAATTAAAAATACCAACCATCCGCCTAAATTTATCTTCTTCAAGCACCTACAATATGGCCATAAAAATATATAACAAATTGCCTGATCATTTATTAATAGAAAATAATAATAGTACATTCATAACAGGACTAAAAGAGCTATTAACTACGAAATGCTATTACACCATAAAAGAATATCTAGACCATAAAATTAATTATCGATGTACCTAACTAAACTATAACTTTCTATCTATAAAAAGAAGCCTCCTCTCCTTAGATTTTAAGTTTGCAGCGTCCAACAGGGTCCTTAATGATCTCCAAATTTATGTAACACCTAAATGTACTTAAGGAAGCAATAAACATATTGAGTATTGAGTATTGAGTCGCGACTGTGCGACGGGTGCCCGCAGTGAGTGTGCGAGCGCAACAGCAACATAATTACGTGCGAACGATAAGGATGGGTGGCTTGGGGTCATTAGACAAAATTCTACGTGCTCACAGACCGGGCTTTAGTTAAGATCGGCCAGTCCCGTCTGTGGTCCCATTGCGATGGGCATCGCTGTTGTGACAGGGTGGCACTGTTCAGTGTTCAGTTCACTTTTTCTGTCCTTGTAATATTTTATGTGCTATTTCTGTCTTTTTTTCTTTACACTCTATTTTTGTCTTGTGTGATGTTCATAGTAATAAATGTTTCTTTCTTTATTTTATTTCAGGCAAGGAAAATTCGCCAGATGATACCTCAGAAATTTTCGGAGGAGCAAAAGCCTTGCAGGGTGATTTTCCGCATATGGTAATATACTAGTTTATTAAACGTTTCATACTCTCTCTCTCTCAAACAGCTATTTCCAAGTAGTATTGACTATGGAGGAGTGCAGGACAACCAAATTGACTGACATAGCTCGCAGAATCGCTAAAATCAAGTGGCAGTGGGTAGAGCACATAGCTCGCAGAATTGATGGCCGCTGGGGCAGAAAAGTTCTCGAGTGGCGACCACGAGTCGGAAGACGTAGTATGGGCAGGCCCCCCACTAGGACCGACGATCTAGTGAAGGTCACGGGAGGTGCTTGGATGCGGGCCCGGACCGGTCTTTGTGGAAATCCTTGGGAGCCTCCCACAAATCGACATTAATGATTTGGTTATTTTTAGGGAGCTGTTGGCTGGGTATCATTAGATGGGGGCATGAAGTGGATGTGTGGTAGCACCCTGATCAGCCCAATGTTTACCCTAACCGCTGCACACTGCAGGCTGGCTTCCAGAAGGATGCCTCTGAAGTATTTTGATCCCAAAATAGTTAGGTTCGGCAGCGTTTTCTTATATGTAAGTTTCATTTATTTATTAAAGATATTAATTTTAATTAACTGGTTTGTTATAATTTCCGTTAACCCACTGAGCAAGTACTCTCTTACCAGTATCACCGAGCTGCTCTGAGCTACGTACTATTGGCCACAGTTCCAGACCAGCTACCCATTTTCGGTCATGTCGTCTCATTCTATCGCAAAGAATCACCATTTGATGAGAAGACAGAAAAAAACGGAAATAGGTAGCTGGAACTGCGGCTGGAATAATACAGGGTGGCGCAATAGAACGTGCATTTTTAAAATAATTATTAAAAAATAAATACAAAAGGTATAGTTAAAATAAAACTAAGCAATTATTAAGTGATAACTGAAGTTTATTTTTTAAAAATAACATCATCTAAATGATGACCCTCTCTACGTTGGCACTCCTCTAACCGCAAACGGAAATTACCGAAAACTTTCTTAAGTAGTGCTGGTTATTCCTTTGGCAGAGATTGCGGCCCAAACTGTCACTTTAGGGCTATGTAACGGTTTTTGATGTTTGAGTCTGGGATTCTCACTATTCCAATAACGACAATTTTGGCGGTTTACGAACCCATTCATATGAAAATGTGCCTCATCAGAGAAAAGGATGTTTTCAAAATTTGAAAACCGATTGAGCATTTCATTAGCAAATGTGAGCCGTGCTATGAAGTCAGAGTCTTTCAATTCTTGAGTTAATTGCAGCTTGTATGGATGCAATTTAAGATCCAAGTTTAAAATTCGTTGCAAACTTCGTCGCGATATGTTTAGGACAGACGATCTCTTGCGAGTAGACATTTGTGGATCTTCTCGTACCGACTGCTTAACACTCTCAATATTGTCTTCGGTCCTAGATGTGCGTGGACGACCTTTTGCGTGTGGTTTAAACGTCGATCCAGTCTCTTCAAACCGCTTTATCCAGATTTTAATTAAATTAGCACTCGGAGCCTCCCTAATTTGCCGTACACCATACTCAGAACAAAATAGTCGCCTGACAACTACGTACGAACGACAGTTTTCGTAAAATGCGCGCACGCAAAATGCGCGACGCTTCCCGTCGAAGTGACTCATAGTGACTAAAACTTCATGAACCGCGCTACCCAACGATATCGGTCTCCCCTCGCCCACGCCCCTTCTACCCCGCAAAAAAAAATGATGCAATATGCACGTTCTGTTGCGCCACCCTGTATAAGATCGAAATGTTCATTACCTTAATAATACAATTGGTATAAAGATGGTATTTTGAAAAACTGTTAATTTTTTCCAGGACACTAACAGAACCAGATATAAGGATGTAAAAATAAAGGAATTTTTGGTGATGGACGAGTATCGAAAGAATCCGCTTCAGAAGTACAATGATATAGGATTGATAAGATTGGAGGAGGAAGTTAAAATGACCCTGACCATTCGACCTGCTTGTCTGTGGAGCGGATATTTGGTTGGTGAGGTGGCCAACATTACTGGATGGGGCAAAGTAACCACTAACGAAGGTACCGAATGAACAGTTTTGTTGCCATTTAAGGATTTTCCACACTGAATCCGTTCTGCGGTCGGGCAAAGTGAACGCAGCCCGCATCATGTATGAACAACATTGTTGATCTCTATACATTTTGTGTGGACCGTGCGAGCACGAGCACAGATCGCAAACTGAGGGTTGAGAGCTGCTTTCACTTTGAATTGACCGCAGACCGCATTCAACGTGACATATGCTTTAGCATCTATTACAATTACAAGAAACAAGAAAGGTAACTATTTACTCCTAGCATAAATTGATCTAGATAACGTTACGCAAAACGCAATCCAACTTTATTTCGCAGATTCGGCATCGAAATATCTCAGATATGCCGAGGTGGATGTCTATGGTGTAGACACTTGCAAGAAGTACGTTCGTGGAAGAAACAATAGAAAATGGCCGAAGGGTCTGGTGGAGCACCAGTTTTGCGCCGGAAAACTAGAGGGAGGCATCGATGCCTGTCAGGTAAGAGTCAGCTCGTCTGTGGACTGTATTCTCTGAGTATAAAGTCCTTTTTTGTTTGTGCGCATCGCAAAATAAAAAGAAAAAAGTTAGAAAATTACACAATACTCTTTTGTCATCGCAAAAAGCAGGCGGCAAGTGCGTGAGAGTATACAATACATTGCAATAGGGAGTCTCATATAAAGATTACTGAACGGCTCTTACTAAAGGTCAAAGTAATTATACCCACCTATCTACCTGCGAGATGCATTTAGTTCGACCTGATCGCAGACTGCATCCAGTGTGAACAATCCTTTAGAGCTTAGTATGTCCGCTAGAGATAGGTATTTTTCTATGTAAGACGGACGACACGCAGTGACACCGCTCCGGCGTCACACCGCCGCCGCAACGCATCGTGTACTTCGACTTATTCAAATTTTTTTCCTAGGGCGATTCCGGAGGTCCACTGCAGATCAGACAACCCATGCCTATGGATAATACCCACATTTTCCACTACGTCGCCGGGATCACCAGTTTCGGCATCAAATGCGGGATACCAAACCTGCCTGGCGTGTACACCAATGTCTCCCATCATAGCTTCATGTGCTGGATCGAGAAGACCGTGTGGCCTGAAGAGAAGAACGACTTTTGCTAGGTTTAACCGACAGAAAAAAGGTCATGTACGACGACGACCGCACATCAAGGTAATCAATCAATTTGAAGTCTTAAGTAGTTGTAATTGGAGCGAATTTCCACAAACAATTCTATCTGATGTGCTGTAGTCTTGTGCAATTTCGCAAATTTGTCTAAATGCTGCTGAAAAGATCTATGTTAATAAAATAAATGTAAACTGTAATGGAAATAAAAACATTTTAAAAGCGTGAATTTGAAAAGATTATTCCTAAAAAGGTGATTACAGATTCGATTACTTTCTTGTACCAGGAAATTAGTTATGAGTAAATTATATTTATGTGCTGTTTTATTGACCGAAGACTACCTACTTCATAACGGCGAGTAGGTACCTATTGCTAATGTTTTACATTAATAATAATATTACAATTTATATCAATATATTTTCCTTATTGATCCATCTCACATCTTCTCAAAAATAAAAATTGAGTTGATTTATTTGCTTTTGAAAAATATAACTTAGAAACTGAGTTAAATCGTCACCACCTTTATTTACATTGGTTTGTTTAAATTATTTAAAAGACAAACAGTGCACAGTGCCTTTGTCAGAGAAGTCCAGGAAAATCCTTGGAGGTCTTTGTCCAGCAATGGACGTCATTTGGCTGAAACGAACGAATGTTGCGCTACATCCGAATGTTCATTTGTGTGTCCACCTTTAGTGTTATTCCTTTATTCCTGCAACCGCAGAGTGGTCAAAACCTTTTACTGGTGTATAAAAAGGAATATTTTAAACGTACGATTAGCATTTTTTCTTTGGGACACATGTTGATGTCGTATTTGCATTAAAAAGACTTCAATTTGTTTTATGAACTTAATTAAAGCATGATTTGCATTTTGATTACATTAGCCCTTTGAAGTACGAGTATTTTTTGGATTAGGCATTGGTTTACTAAACGTAGATTTTATGAAATCACAGATACTACGACTTTACTTAGGTATTCAGATACTGTATTTCGATTTACAAGGAAGTTTAGTCACTATTAATCTGAATATTATGATGGTTAGTTAAACTCAGAACTATTGAACGAAGAGTGACTTTCTTGGTTCTTTTTATTCTTCTTTTCCCTCTGTTTTACTTATGACTTATGGACGTGTTGTGTTTACTCGTTAATTTTATTTCTTAATTTTTTTCTTTATTTTAATCCTGCTTAATAAAAGTCTTTTTGGAACTTCAAGGAAGAAACACTGATAAACTAATGAAGTCTCTTCAACTCACTTTAATTTTTCCATAAATCTTGAAAACAAGATAAATGTGGAACGAAACTCAATCTAACGCGTTCTGTCAAATGCTTTTTTCCTAACGGGCCTTTGCATAGGCAAATTAATCAAACTTCTGAACTTTTATAACTTGGTTTAGGGCGCTGTTCCACTGGCCCGCCGTGTGGGCGGGCAATCGCCGAGAGGGACTGTCATGTGGTAGTGAAGGCTTTGTCTGGAATTCCACAGTTCCTTCCCACTTAAGGCGAATGACGGAGCACCGGGGTCTTTTTAGTGGGCATGCCTTGTCCTACTGACTTTGTGAGCCCCACATAACCTACCCTGTCCCCGTAGGGTAGGTAATAAGTATGCAGTTCAATGCATTTTTTCCCCGAAAAAAAGGGCGCTGTTCTATTGAGGCGGAGCTTAGAACAGGCAAACTTAAAATTAGGTTTAAAAACTTAACAGATGACAATTTCAATGCTAGATTCTTTCCAAGCCTACTATTATGTTATTGTTATAAAACTATGGTTTTATCAAGAAAAATAAGTTATTTTGAGTCGATAACTGAATAATGCAAGAAAATAATTGCATTATGCTTTGCGTAAATTATATGCAGGGAATATTTTCCTTAGTTTGTCAACGCACCATAATGTGTTGTCATTCTATTTGTTTTTTTTTTTAATCTGGGACTGGCTATCCCTCTGACCATCATTAAGGTGATTGTAAGACATTGGAATTATTAACCTATCATGTCTGCCTATCTTAATAGCCAGGTAAAACACACGGGACTTTTCTCATCTCTCGTTCCCACCGTTGCAACTCCTGTGTACCCATGATCAACAGCTTGACCGCCAATAAAAATCCAACCAGTGAAGGCCAACTGAAGTGTCAAAAAAATGTTTGTAAGAAACAAAAAGTATTTATTTGATGCAAGGTACAGACACCAAAATGGCATCCGCTCATTATAAGAGCGTGTCACGTCACGACGACCACTGGTATTCTGTAGGTCTAGACAAAGTGCACTTTTTGATCGAATCGAAAATCGAATCCGTCAAAACTCCATACAAAAAAAAGGCTTTTCGACCACTTTTCGACTGGTTTGCGATTAAAATGTGCACTTTGTCTAGACCCACTGCTGTTTCTTTCGCTCAGCTTTAGTAGACAGACACCCTTATCTCCAAGGCGTAGTTTGAGAGCACCAGAGCATAAATAAAATCCAGATTCATTACCAGGGGAGATTTCATTAGAAAGTTAGAAGAAATTGTAGAGACAGGAACTTTTTTATTTTGATATTTATAAATATTTTTTTCCTAAAATACGAAGTTGTCTATGATTGGTCGACATAATTTCGTTAACTAAAATTAGAGATGGTCGTAGCTGGATCGATTCCTGTGGTGTCTCAATCAAGTATCTGGAGGCCCCCCCACCTTTCAAAAATCATGACGTCAGGTCAGGAATGGTAACTTTTAGGAGGGAATGATTCCTGACCACTCACTGATTAATCATTAAATCTCAGAAACTATAACGCATACACACTTGGGATGTTAGGGTCCTTATAGGGTGTAGACATCCGCTAAGAACGGATTTTACGAAACTCCACCCCTATGGGGGTAAAACGGGGTCCACGCGTACGAAGTCGCGGGTGGCCTCTAATTTAATACTAAAAGAAAACTGGTTTATTTTCTCTTTATGTATCAAAGAATAAAGAGCCAATTCTTCCATAAGTATATTATTATTTATTTACGATTCCACTCCACTTTGAGTGGTTGTAAATTATTAAATATCGCACAAAACATCTTAATCCAACAATTTAATCAGGCTATACTGAGATTCAGTAACTTAACACCTTTAAAATTTTACGAGGTAATTCGCAACTTTATTTATCGGGCCATTCGGTTTAATATCGCTTGACGTCGGGGAGGTTCTTTAATGTAGCACCTCAACTAATAAAGTTTGGTAACGAGTTTCGTAAACGAGTCCAGTTTGATTAAGTGTAAGTAATAAATGACCTCATAGCTTCTGATCATAGGTAAGGAAGATGGGAAATGGTATGCCCGCGATTGTAGGCTCGAATCCCGATGAGGACAAATAAAGACTAGAACTCGTTTTACAACGGTGGATATTGGATCACAGACTGGATAGTATGTGTGTTCGTGATCTTAACATAGGTGGTATTTCTATTAAAGCAAATAACTTAGGAAATACTGTGAATATTGAGATAGGAGTGTGAACAACCTGTGCCAAATTAGACTTTAAATCTATTGGCATTAAAAAGTGAAAACCGCCAGAACTTGAGATAGATGGTATTGGTTCTTACCGTCGATATACTTATAATAATACATACGCATAATACGTAATACATAATACATAATACTTATAATATATACGCATAAGACTTAGTTTAGGCGCAGATCACCGACTTTTAGTCGGCCGATAGTTGGGCCCGATTTTAATTTGTTTCTTAGAAATTGTTTCGATTTCATACATGACATCTGATTTGTTAATATAGTAAGACATACAAGAGCAGACATGAGTCTGCTTGTGACCACGGCTTCAGCTTCTCAGCCGAAACGTCAAGCCGTGAGTACATAATGTAACTCATTAATAAACGTCGCGTGTCTTACTACACTGGTCATCACAAAAATCGACATTTTTTCAAGTCACATTTATTTATTGTATATGTCAGTAGAAACGAGTTTTCCTGTAAAACGTAGGTGGGCCGATTTTTGTGATGACCAGATTTTAATTGAAATGAAACGCGAAAGTTTAAAATCTGATTTGTTGTTCAAAACATTTGTCCGCTCCGCTCCGTTCCGCTTTGGCGGACCCAGGTCACTTTTGAACCTTTGTTTAATACTCCTGTTTATAAAATTATCCATTATCCTCTTAAGCATGTAGATTCTTGAAGTAATGACCATTTGATGACCGTATTTAAATAAGAGTGATCAAGAAGCTAGTCAGACCGGAGTGATACAAAGAAACAACATGTCGTGTCGCTTGGAGCTATTTTCCTTGTTTGCTGGTAAGTACGTCATTTTTGTTATTAATATTGTTTATTTAAGAACGCATCTGTTATATTGTGTGTTTGTATCGGTTAATTATCATTATAAATAATTTATAATTAAAATGTGTGATATATTGCACAAATATAAAAGTAAAATCATGTATATTATTACTGTGCAAAATGTAAGTGTATATTTGGTTAGTAAAACGAAATAAATGCGTTGGGTTTGCATTTTATGAAATACTATTATTTTATAGTTTTTTTAAAGATTTTATTTTGAAGCTGCAAATTGAGTGTTTCAGCATTGTTTTTTCTAAATTTTGAAGCTTCGAATTGAGTTTTCGAGCATTGTTTTGGAATACAAAGCTAACTGCAGAACACTAAGGCTGGGTTGCACCATCTTACTTTAACTTTGACAAACGTGAAAAAACTGTCAAACTCCATACAAAAAACACCGGTTATCGTTATAGTTACGGTCAAAAGTAGGTGGTGCAACTCAGCGTTAGTAGAGCTACAAATCTAGCTGATCACTATGAAATCTTATATGTCTTTGTAATAGGCACTATTTTAAAACCAAATACACAGTCTGATGAGCTGTTTCCTGAGTAAAAACTGAGATATTCTCTGGATCTCTAAATGAAGGTTAAAATAAATGATTCGTTAAAAAAGCTTTAAATTGGTCCAAGTAATGGTTAAGCTGCTAATAAATAAATAATAAATAAATAAATCTTTGGACAATTTCACACAGCGCCAGCTAGCCCCAAAGTAAGCAACTTAATGCTTGTGTTATTGGTGCTAGCTTAACGGATATACTACTTATATACTTTTTTTTTAAATACATAAATATTATACATAGTCACACCCAGACCCGTCACAGAAATTAAAATTCATCATTTCAATTTCTGCCCGGCCGGCAATCGAACCCGGGACCTCTCGGCATAGTAGTCCGTTCTGAACCACTA